ATAAGGTGTTACATTGAAAGTCGATGGTCTCCATATATTCCAGTCGTTTACGGCAAAAAAGCATTACTCGATCGTAAAAATTAAAAATGATACAAAGAAATATAAAAAATATGAGAATTGAGAAATGTAATAATCTAAATAAATACTTATAAACACCGATAAAAAATGTAGCTTACGGTAAGGACTTTTGATACCTACTCGACAATATTCACAACAGAAATTAATTTAATAAATTGTTGTAAAAAGTATTCTACTTTGTTTGAATGTTACCCTTTTATAATTTTCTAAATGTTCAATTAATACTAAGTACTAACTATATTTAGTAAGTGATAAAATATTGATTCCTCGTATTTATACAAGACTTACTAAAACCTAATATTCTCTTTTAAAATACCTATTTAAATGAACCTTAAATTCAAATTTATATTTATTTTATCTCTCCTCGATCAAACAGTGTTCATAATAAAAGCTCATAAAATAATGAAAATATAGAAACTAACTTTCTTGTACACGTTTTGAAATAGGTAATAAATATAATGATGAAACCTTAAAAAGGCTTTGAAAGTTATTATTAGTTGGTACGTCAAAATAAAATATGCAATTATAATACAATCAATTTGTATGAATAAAGTAAAAACATCTTAATAACTATGTAAACTTTTAAGTTCAAGAAAACACGTATTTTAAAGAAAAAAATTCACAAAGCTTATAATCATACCAAAATAATGAAACGTAAATATATATGCAAAGTGATTCTTTTAACAATAGACACTCGTTATTTCAAAAAGCATAAACAATTTTAAAATATTTTTTTACATAATTTGAATCTATTACAAAACTACATTTTAAAAAATAATGTAAGTATATTTTATTTCTTTTTATCGATATCATTGTTTTATACTTCGAGAGACAACTAACATTTTAAATTTCAAGTTCGAAAGCAGAATATTTTCTTGAGAATTATGAAATATAAAAATCGAGTTTTTAACGAGAAGTTAATTAGTTATGGCCTACAAGTATTTTTAAGTTTTTAAGTTTTATGAACGGTGTGAAGTGACACAGTGGTACCTAGCAAAATGTTGATGTACTACTCCAATCGTCTAAGATGTAAATACTTATAAGTTTTATAGTATTCATATTCCGTAGAGGAATATATTTCTGAAAATGTGTGTGTATGAAAATCAAATTTTGAACGAGTATAGTAATGTAAGTTGTCAATCCAAAAGGTAAAACTTTTTTTTTTATAATGATAAAAATATTATAAGATGGTAAAAAGTATATACGATTTTTGGCAAAAGTATATTTTGAAAAACGATAATGCTTTTTGGCATACCCGATGGCTGCAGTTTACTGTTAAACGAATTACCCAGTTTACAATAATACACAACTTATTGTATAATACTATAATGCATACTATACAGTCGTGGATTATAGTGGTGCATCGTCTGCGCAAATGTTCAACGTATTTCGATTTGAGAAAAAAATGTAGAAAAAATTAAATAAAAGAGACATCTCTTTCGTTTGTTTACTATAATAATATATTGTATAAATGTATTGACCTGTAGTGTAGTAGGTAAATTAAATTTCCACGATATAACGTCGAGCAGTAATAATACGACAGAACAAAGCAGTAATTAGTACGGACGAGAAAAGTAAAGAAGACAATAAATAAATTTATAATTATTACGCGAGCCTACCTATATAGACATTATCATCCGAACTCAACTAAATCAATATTATGCGCGTCGATTACATACTCAAATATTAGTCGCAGTAGGTAATTAAAAGGGTATACACGATGTTTTAATGACTACTAACGTGTCAACATAATAGATGGATACAATCACAATGAACCGTGTTTGTGGTGTTTCGGTTCAAAACTGCGACGACGACAATTATTATAAATATATTATATTATTATTACACATTGATGACATTGTTGTGGCCGATGACGTGCCCGCAAAATATTTTTCTTGCGCGATAATAAAATATAATATTGGTAAAATATTATTCTCGATATTATTATGCAGTAATATTTTAATTTCGACACAATATGATAAAATATGTTATCAATTATTTTTTCAAAACATTACATGCCAACGTCATAACCATAGACAACAAAATATAATATTCTCAGCCACATGAGTATCATAATACATAAAAATATATCAATTCTACAATTTCACACGCTTTCGGTTGTTGTAGAGAAAAATTAGTATACGCTCCACTGTACACAGTGCTCTTGTGTCTTACTTTCGTCCCGTATGGAAACTTAAACGTAATTTAATATCACTATTTTGAATATTTTGACACAGTAAGGCGCAATAGGAGGATACTTGTGGGGGAGGGGAGTATGTGTTGTCATAGAGTTATCATAATATTATAATATTAACCATAGATACCAACTGATAATATATCAAATTCATTTTTGATATTGTAACTTAATAAAAATCCATGGACGATAAAAGAAAACCTATAGTTTTTTCTTTTGTGGGTAACAGTATATCTTGTTTACAAGATTCAAAGGCAGGGCGGTACACTACTGGTACGGATATATGATCCTATTACTATTTACTATAATATTATGACCCTTTTTACTTTAACTATTAATCAGATGATCTTAACGAGTAATTTCTGAGTAATTCAGCATATAGCTGGTCCTCAGGATAATATCTAATAAGTAATAAGTAATAATAAATGATAATAAGCTTGGGGCATATTATGATGGACCATGGTAATGAATTATTTTAAAATGTTAGTAAAATAAAAAATTTATACATCATTTGTAAAAATCAAAGATATACATAAAGTTATACACATCATACCTGAGTATAATAAATTCTACAAGTTAGAAAAAATATAGATTAAATATAACATGTATTGTAAATTTTGTAAAACCATAACAAAGATTGTCATAGTACATAAATTCAAAAACTAATCGCATTTGATTTAGATGTTTCAACGTTTTCAATTAACAGTAAAAAAGAACGGTTCTCATTTGAAAGAAAATGGGTACTTTGTATGCCATCATTCATCACAGAATACTTCTTAAATGGCATTAATCGTAAAAAAAAAACAATTGCCTATTTGAAAATTGTATGGTCTTTTTAAAAGTGTTGTTTAAAAATTCCAAAAATCAGAATTTAAATAAACTTATTATTATATGATAATTAATGGCGGCGAGCATGCTGGATAAATCAACGTGTATATTAACATATATCTACAGAATTGACCATCGTGTTTTCCCGACTCCTGTGTAAAGCTAACATGATAAAACAAAGTGTATACTGTGCAGAATTCATCGTAATATCATGTTTATATATACATTTCATATACAATTCTGAAACCCTGAAACTTTTTATCCTAATCCTATTAATTATAATGTTTGAAAATGTTTAAGTTTGTCCTTTTAATTTACATTTCATAACATTATCGTATTATTTTAACAGTTCTAGTAGGTAAATAAATAAATAAATACAAGCTTACAGACATTCAACATTATAAATAAGACACTTTACTAATTGGGATATACTTCACAGCTAGGGTATTTATTAAGCAGTTCGTAAATTAAATTAAAATTAATTTCAAAACTAATCACGCATGCGGTCGTAAATTCACTTTTATGTCGAGTACCTTATACATTAAAAAAGAGGAAAAAAATAAGAAGAAAAGTCCGACGAAAACGTGAATTCCTTATTTAATATGCCGTTCATTCGATTCGGTGAATCGAACGTTTTTATTTGCAAACCGCAAAACTCCGAACCATTTATCATACAACATCATAGTATATAGGTAGGTACCCACATAGTGAGCGTGTGTACCTATTATATCAAAGTAAAAGCGGAATCGACCGAGATAAAATCATATTATTATGTTTCGTTAATACCGAATAGCAATAATGACGTTTTTCTACAGATATACACTATACATATTAGTTAATTATCCTCTCCCAAAAACAAAGGAACGTTGATTTTGAACGTGTGGACCGCCCAGCACGTCTTCCGTGAGCGCGTGACATAACTTTTAAACCAATCATAAATACATGAAACCGAAACGTGAGCTCCTACAACACCTTATTTCCGCAGAATTATGAATAAAAGTAAATTTAATTTTTTTTTTTTACGTCAGTTTTGTGAAATAAAAACAAAATTTAAATTACGTACCAACAAGATACTGAGCTATAGTGATGACTGGATGTTAGAGCTCTCGTATAGCTTCACTCGTATCTGCGCAACACCGAGTGTTTTATAAGTTACTATACTTTTAAACACAAAAGTTATAACACATTTCGATAAGCAGTAAAGTGTTTAAATAATAATACAAATTATTAGACTGTATATTATGTATAGTTACAACATTTAACACATATAATATAGGCAGTGGCGTGGTGAACGAGGTTTTATGGCGCTTAGGTGTCATGGTGGACATTTTTTTGGAGGGCAGTTGGGGGTTAGTATTATAATTAAAATATTTAAAGTCGTATGGTAATTATATCTATTATACCTATATATTACATTGAGGTGATTAAGAGTGGGTAGGTACTAAAATATATGCTGTGCATGATGATTTATTAATGCTCACCACGCCACTGTATATAATAAAGTACATGGGTGCCTAATATTATATTATAATTTATTAATAAATACATTTTGTTGTGATTAATGAAATTAAGACTATAAACGCTCTCCGGGGCAATAATGACTTACTCATAGATAGGATGACATAATATTAATATAATCAAATCATGAACTTTTAGTAATTTTTCAAAAAATTTCGGAAAATTAATAAGACGATTTAAAAAGTATATTGAAAGACTTTTTCTCTTAGAATATTATAATTACTTTGTGCGAATAATTTATGACCTTTAATAACTGGGCGTTTGGAACTTTCGGAGCAGTCCGTCCAACCCATAAAAATGTTTCCGCATATTTAAAAAAAAAATTAAATACACATCATTGTAAATCCCAGAATATTCAAATAAATGTATGTTCTTGTTCCAGGAACGAGTATCCCTAATCGTACCTTGGATTGTCGGTCTCATAACTTTCATGGCACTCGAAGCGGTTGCCATTGTTTACTCAAACGTACTCAGAGACCATGTAAATAAGGTGAGTTGTGAACATGAATTCATATATATGTATATATATATATATATACTTAAATATATGTATATATATATAAACATGAGCAATATCGTATTTTATGTATATATTGCTATACTATACATACCTAATATCATATAATATCAGAAGCAATATCGTTCGGAATACTCGAGTTCTGCACAGAATATAGAGAATATAATATTTTACTAACCAAATATTAAATCATTTATTATTTCTAGAAATTCGACTCGTTCTGCAAAATCGAAGTGACGTTTTACTTGATACGGGCAGTACTAAATGTAAGTAAGCGCATTTTAATATTATTTGTTAAAAGTCAATGTGTAATTTACATATTATTAACCATTTCATAATCTCATAAAGTAGTTAAGGCCATTTACACCAATTTTATTTCCGTTTTTGTACGTCCATGATAGAATGACGCGTATAAAACCGTTTATTTCGTCATGCGTACATAATAATATAATATGACAGAAAGGTCTATCTCCTGAGCTAGGAAACTGAACTGTCAATATTATGCACGACGTAAGTTCAAAGTAACTGTAGTACTAGTAAATAGATAATGTAGAAATAAAATATTAATGTCTCGGGTTATTAAATAGTAAAAACCATTAGTTCTAGTTTGAAATACGTACCGTACCGATTTGTATTATGTCAGAAAAATAGGTCGTATTTATTGATATTATTTGCTTACCAACAATAAATAAAGAGAAAAAATCGATACAAAAATTAAAATTGTTAATTTCGAAAAAGAAAAAATATATTTACTGAAGAGTTATAAGAGTATTCAAAAACAATGTATACGCTAAACATTCCAAAATAATATCTTAATAAAACTATTTATGAATAAAAAAGAAGTAAGTGCCTACCTAAACTTGTGAAGGTTAGATAGTACTGACAGTAGACACACAACACCGCTGCTACAATAATTGTAATTTCACGTTTGGCTTTATCTCATATACAATAGTACTTCGCAATAAATGTATTTTTTATTACTTTAAACAATTAATGTTCACACATAACGCAAAATAATGACTCTTACAAAGTAGTAATGTACAGGAACCCGGACACTGTTTATGATGCGTTCATACACGAATATAACTGAATTTTTTTTTCCTCGAAAAATGGCCAAATTACCTTCACAACCCGAGAATGGTAAATACATTTCTGCTCACAGATCCGGCTTGCTACGTCACTATCACACCTATCATTTTATCAGTAAATCTACATACTCATAAATTAATATTAAGAAAAATAATTTATATCTGTCTGTTATTGATTTAAATCAATAAGTTTTCCATTCATTTTTAAATGGTTTGTGTGGAATGTTGTAAACGAGGATAGTTCAACGAATATTTCATTACAGACATTGACAGTTTTATACTTTTTTTTTTCATTAAATTCATAAATCTATTCTAATTCGACAATACCTATAGCTTTTTAATTTATATTTTATTATTATTTACACAATACTTTCGAATGCATATTTTATTCGGAAGCTTAAAAATGTATTCATATAATACGTCTAGAATGCGTTCATCGTGAGAATTAATTTTACCGTCGCAAACTTCATAGTATAATTATTATTTTGTTATTAATATTATTTTCACAGATTTCAATTTCAGCTGGTCTTTTAAAAGTGATGTTTGCTTAAGCCATGAAATTCTGCTGTGTGTGGACTATTACGCGTCTCACAGTGACGTATTACGGTGATGGCTGGGGGGATGATCACAGCCTAAGGGTGATATATTTTGTATGGGCATAGTTATTAATTAACCCTCGTTATGATCCGATCTTATTATTTTCTAATCGTTAGAAATTAATTTGTACTACATTGAACATTGAACTTTATTTGTACTAAATTATTTTTTACTTTCTTATAAGTTTTGTATTGCTTTGTTGGATTTGTTTTTCCTATTTAATTATATACACAGTATACAATTAATTTTTCCAGTACAAATTGTCATACATAATTAGGGATGTACAAGGTACTTAAAACTCAGAATCGCAATAGTAGATACTCGATACTTGATAAATATTTAGATACATACTCAATACTAAAAACTTGATAGTCGATAAATAAAAATAATAATTTTTTTTAATTATACTAATTTCATTACTCATTACATAATATAATCTCTATATATTTTATAATTGTATAGTCTATATATTTAAAATATATGTATACTAATATTTCCTAATAAAAACCTAAATATAACCTTATAGAAAAGGTATACCTAGTAGGTACTTAGTAGCCAGTAGGTAATCATAAAAGATAAGTAATATTTTATTTTATTATTTTAATAGATATAATCTAATACCTATTGCACCTATTACGTTAAATAATTGTATAAATATTTAATTATAATAATAATAGTCAGTGGTTTTTTAAATGTTAAAACATGCTCCATCCACAGTTGTCATTTCTGACAAATAGACAATAATATATTATATACAGATACACTTTGGACTGCAAAGTCCAAATGTCCATCATACACGAATTGTTGATACACTACGTGTACCGTTCTGGAGTATGGGTGTAAAAAATTCGGGCCGGGTAATAAATTGTTAGACAATAGATGCAAAACCACGAATGACTAGGAGAGTTAAAATAATCGTTATGATTTATGATTAAATTCCTCGTATAATCGTATGACTCGTAAATCACTACGGTTGACGAATATTCTCAAATTAAATGAGTCGTGTGAGGCCTGCTTAAGATATCAGTATTAATTATTCTAACAATAATGAATAACATAATTTGTAACGAAAATTAAAAAATATGTTTTTGAATGACTATTTATATAAAATATTAATTTTGGCACAAATAATATGTCATATTTGCACTTTTAGCGTTTATGTCATATAGCCGATTTTGGCAACATAAAAAAATAGCACCAGAAAATTACATGTCTATGGAAAAGTGGAAATTGGAAGAAGGGTGTGCTTGTAGGCAACATTGAATACATTGCGGTCGTGTCTTATTTAAAATTCTCCATAAACCCATTACTGTCTTAATGATGACAAATTTATTCACGGGGAAATAATGTTAATGCAACACAATCACCGCTGCCATCGCAGAGAAGCCGTGGTAAAAAATAATAAAGATTTGTGAACGCGGCCGCATATTTTACGCATACACAAACACCGGATGGTAGCGAAAGAAAAATATATGAGATAAAGATAAATGTGGGTTTTTCTGTTTTCATGACAGTTAAGAAATAGGGATAATTCCGAAAAGAAAATTCTGTATTCTTCATGAGAACGATAAATATCTTTGGTCCAAATCTCTTGGGCTGCAAAGAAAAATATCCATTTTTCAAAACAATAGATTCGTCCCCGCGTAGTTATGCGCGTAATCATACACAGTCATACATTACCGCTTTAGTTTTCGCTTTGTGTCGTTCATTTTGTTATTCGCACACCGCCTTACCTATTGGCTATTCGTGTACGTAAGTCCGCCGCCGTTCCGAAATAATAGGCAGGTAACACGAAAAATTGATACTTTCATTCGATAAATCGGTTTTTCCTCACTTAATAAAACATCCGCACACGTGACGCACTAAAACGATAGTATAACAACCTGGTCGGGACAGGGTACATGTACCAAGCAAAACCAAGTATAGACACGCGTGCGTCCGTTACGACGCTTTAATATCAGAGCTTTTTACCGACGGTCTAAAGCTCTGCAGAGACCCAAATATAATATAAATCCACTTGAGGGAGTGTGAGGGCCATACTGATGGGGGCGAAGTCGAATTCGGATGGCAATTCATATATTCCATCTGAACACAAACCCGCAAATTCCACACTGATTGATTTCCTTCTGCCTTCTACACATCATTATGATATTGTGTATTATTATTCAATACAATATTTTATCGGCGTCGGCTCCTCGTTTTTAAACGAAACAAGGTATAAAGATTTATACTATTAATATTATACATTTCGGTGTAAGGAATATATTATTCTGCCCAAAGTATTATTTATTTATTTATAATTATTATCATTCGATGTTAAAAATTTCGTCGATATGCATGATATGGTTTGGGTTCAATTTATCAAATAAAAGTATTTGAAAACACGACATTTTATTAATAAATTACTCAACGATAAGTTTAGTAATATGAAAAAAACCCGTAAATTATGGATTTTTTACATTTTTTCCCAACGTATTCATATTCATCATAGCACTGCGTTTGGGAAGTTAGTGTATTGTTATCACTTACTACAACAACTGAACAATAATTCGTATGCAAGTGATACTGCAGGTTATTAATAATTGATAATAGTATAATTTATAAAATCGAACTCTAATTTTTCTTTTTTCAACTCCCATTTTTAAGTGATTTTTAAACTTCCAAGTCTCTAAACGTTGGTCGACAATAATAAATAATTATTAATATACACGAATATACGGGGATTTCGTGACTGGCCGGGGGAGGGGGACTAAAGGGCGAACGTGAGCTTGGAAAAAACATCCGACGTCGGTGTGCAAACATCGGTAGAAGGAATCGACCGACCGACCGTCGCCGTACGCTGCGAGACGTAATAACCGTTGGAGGTAACTATCTCCGCCTGTGTAATAGATAATAATGATAATATTCCTCCAAACGGAACTCGCTCGTAGGATTTTAAATTTATCGCCCAGCTCGGCGTGCGTCGTCGTCGTATAAGTGTTGGAGTCGTCGAGTGTGTGCTTAAGAGCTCGCGCGGCTACACTATTATTATATTGCATTGTCTCGACGCGTCTGCGTTAATTTATCGCTCGTCGTCGTACACTGTAATAATTATTATAATCTGAGCGCTTACGCCAAAAGCGTTCCGTAGAAGGAGAAAAAAGACGCCGCCGAGATGAAATCATTAGTAGAAACAATGTGACGACGAAATGAACGGCTGCGGCAATTGTGTGTGTGTTATTATGATATGCTGTGGGTATGTGTACCTATATAATATGCGAGACACACACTCCTAATGAACGACGGGGCTTGCCGGGAGAAAATATCCGGTGCACTAATCGACGGTGAATCGCGCGAGAATTGCGGCACATAATAATATTATATATACCTATTATATAATATTGCAGAGTGTACGCGAAAATCGAGAGATGAACAAAAGGCGCAAATATTATTATAATATTGTGCGTATGTAGTCGATTAAAATGCGTCAGATTTAACTTGCCCGGTATTCGTGTTAAACGGCGTCGGCGGCGGCAAATATCGTGACGTCTACACCAGACTCGGCTATTAATCAAACCGGCTAAATTTCTAATCGGTACCCG